GAGGAGGGACTGCGCGGCGATGCGGTGGTTTGAGGGCGATCGCAGGTGGGAGCGAATCTCAGACGTCGAGGCGGACGACGGCGATGCAGGTACAGGAGCGACCAGAGGGCTAACAGAGCACATAAATGGCCATCTGATAATGCATAAGAAATTGTCACACTCTGTGAACAGCTTATCAAAATAATCAGAATGTAACACCTTATGTAACTGACTGCAGAAACTTACACTTTTCGGCGTCTTACCGTTCAACGTCGACGCCTCGCCGAAGCTGAATCCATACTGGTAGAGCGTCGGTGCCACGCCTCTGCAGGATACTATGGAAGAACACTGACAGACGTCATCTGGTTTCTTCTCATCCTCAACGACACCATGCTTGCCACTCTTGCACTTGTCTCCTCTGAGACATCCTCTGCATCCCAATCTGCACAAGTGATTTGGCAAAAGGCATTATATAAATTGTTGAGTAAATCCCAGAACGTCCATGGGAGGTAGATGGCCCACGACAAATATGTGCTAGCGTGCTTCAGTGCCAGGTAATAATTGAGTCGCAGGATAACGATGAAAGGTAGGGGCGCACAATCTATTTTTAATAGGGTCACTATACGACGATGTCATAGAAAGACTTGATAAATCGTCATATAGAGGACGATGACTATTATCAGCATAATTGTAATGCCTACTACGGTATGCGTCACGAAGCGCACCGGTGAGCTCACCTGCTTTCTTATACAGATCAATAGATTGGCCTTTTATAGATTTCTCAAACGCTTTCTCGATAGTATTCTTACCGTCATTCCAATCTCTCACTAGTGACAACACAAATCCGAAGTGCTCTGGGAGCGAAGCCGGCGTTTTCGGTTTAAGGCAGAAGAGTGAGGGAATATGTTCATCGGCGAACATGCTGTCAAGAAGCTCCCATAGAGCTGAACCCATTTTTGTGGTGCCCGAAAAGGCCTTAAAGCCTAACGGCGTGAGACAGGGCATGCCCTTCATGGATGTGGAAGGACACGTATTACATGTAGCTCTACAACCGATGGAACTAAGGTGATGTGGCAAATGTCCTGGGAGGCAGTCGTTTAGGTAGCTTTGTAGAGGGGATTTTGGTTGGCAATTTGGTTCGCACGCTTGGCACATTGGTTGACCTTTTGGTTTGCTGTTTGCTTTGTCTGCAAATGCTCTTTGCACGGCCAGTTGACCGATGAGATATCTCTGCCGTAGTAGCACTGGCCCCAACCGTGGAGCTCAGTGCCTAGGCCACACACGCTATGCAAGAATCTAAGCGGAGGGAACAATCTGCGTAATATATCTAACAACATTTCAAGACAACCCTCTCCATTTGGTAGTGCAAGTGAGTGAGTTGCTGTAGTAGTCGCAGCCGTAAGTGCTGTATTCGTCACCGGTGCCGGCGACGGCTGCCAGGAACTCGTAGGCGAAAGAGCACAGGTCATCGATCGCCGTGGACATATCATTATAAGTGACACTTTTGGATAGGCATTCATGTATGAAGACTGGTAGTCAAACGTTGCAATGCCAGCGATGCTGCCAGTTTTCTTATCTGAGTCGTGGGGCGTTGACACCGTCGTGCAGCAACGATGGAAAACGGGATTATACACAAGCCGGCCAGCCATTACACATCTCAAACACGGAACACGGATGCTTCTTAGAGGTTAATGTGGCTAAGTGACCGACTTCGAAAGCTTATCGAAGATGGTGAACGCATTTAAGGATGTCCAAGACATTGAAGTCTTTTCGCTTCTTGTTTGGTCTACAAGTTGCAAGGTGCAAATTTCTGTTGGCTTCTGAGATTGTATCGTTGAGTTTGTCGTAGATCTTCTCACCCTTGTACCCGGTGGACGGGAATTTCAATTCGCCGTCATGGGAATCTTCTTTTATGGTAACTTCATAACCGCAGTTCTTCAGGAAATGTCCCAAGTTGTTGTGCTCATTACGTCCGGAAATCAGGCAAATTTTGTTTTGCTTCCAACCATGTTCACAGTCTTCCTTCAACTTGGACAAATGGTCATATACAGAGGGCAAGATTGTGACACATACTTTGGCGGCCTTGCGGCCTTCGTCATTCAATTCATTATTGTCGTCAGTTTGTTTGGGTGCTTTAACTGGTATTGTATCGGAATTTTCTTTAGGTTTCACTAATTGTCCAGCGAACTGTACTCCGCTGTACCTGCTGACGTACTGCTTGCGTAGCTCCTCGTGGAGGTCCGTGACGCCGCGCTTTATGACGTTGAGCAGGGGCGAGGCGTCGGCGAATTTTGTCGGAGTGAAGTTGTCGAGTGCTTTTTTGAGCGCGTCGATTTTGTCGGAGACGTCGCGGTGGAAGTTTGTCAAACATTTCTTCAAGTAGAGTCTCGAGAGCTGACGTGATGGGAGTGAGTTTGTCAGTGTGGAGACGTCGGACTGGTCTGACAACTCGTTGAAAAAGTTGGTAAAGAAATTGTTCACCTTGCTGGAATATGCTCTCAGATCTGTACCGGAATGGTGAAGTAGTGCAAAACGTCCCAACCTGCTCATCAGGCCTTTTCGGCCTGTCTTAGCATCTTGATCAATGATACCTTGGATTATCGGAATTTGCACTTCAAGACATTTTTGCACATTTTTGAGCTCAGCTTTCTTTTGAGCGTCGTACATCTGTTGGACGTTATTCTCCAACTCATTAAAAGCGTTTCGAACCTTCGCCTGCAGGTCACTTTTGAGCATCTTCAGAACAAGGCCCGCGGTGTTTTTTCGCGCTTTTAAGGACCCTTCGAGTTGCAAAATGGCAGTGTCGAAGGCTGCATTTGCAGAGGTGATGGGAGTTTCGATGTCTTTGATTTTCTGCAAAATATCCTGGATTGTGGTTTTCAGCTGCTGCATAACCACTTCAGCGTTCTTCCGCTTGCTATCAACTGTACGTGGAAGAGTTTTGAGTTCGTTGAGTTCTTCCTGAATTTTTTGAACGGCACTTGTGAGCCTGCTTTTGGCGCCGTCGAACAGTGTCATGTTTTAACCACGTCAATCTGAGTTCCATCAGCGGTCATCTGAAAATTTGCAACGGCTTCGTCAATGGCCTTATTTATTGCTTTGATCTGCTCTTGAGCTTCAGTGTTGAACTCTTGAACGGCAGGATCAAGGCCATGTTTGACGTGGGTCCTGAATCTTCCCTCAAGTACCTCAACGTTATGTCTCACTTGATAAATAGCTGAGTCAACTGCATGGGCATCCGCCTTGCCAAGTTTAGCAACGAGGATTGGAGAAGTGGTGAGAGCCTGTTTCAGGTTGCTGATGTTCGGTTCCTCTATTAGCGTTTGAATATCTTTAGAGGCGGCGGAGGCTTTGGCACAGATGGATCCGAATATGGCTTTGATGGCGGATATCAGATGTTGGTTATTCGTATTTTTGCCGGATGTCGCTTTAGTCTCAATTACACCAGCCACTTCAGTTCCCTTAACTTCCTGATCAATCTTGGACGGACCTTGATCAAGAAAACTTTTAACGCTACGCAATGTAGCTTCTACGTCATCTGCGCTGAGGTTTGCCTTTACGCCAAAGCCTTTTACAATTTGAATAATCCTCTGCTTGCCTGCTTCTATAGCCTGCGTTATATTTTTCCAATCCCATTGGCCGCCTGTTCCAATAACGTCGATGTATATGGTCCTAGCTAACTCCATAGTATTTACGAATTCGTTAACCCATAAATTTACAGTCTTATCGTAATTTGTGATGTAATTGTCGACATATTGATGATACTTATTTACAACATGATTTGAACCACCATTAAGTGCATTCCTACTCTCCTTAACAATTTCCTCTTTAACCTTATTTAAAAGTCATTCACAGTTTCTTTGCCATTCTCACCAACGGCTTTGCAAAGTTTTTTAATCTCCTTGCCGATCTTTCTGACTTCCGTTTCAAGCTTATTCTTGATATTATCCTCAAACAATTTTTCAAGGTTACCTTCCGCATTTTTATCTGAACCAGTCACCTTCTCAAGTTTCTCCTTCGCCACCTGAAGTTGTGCCAATGCATCCTTTGCAACAGTAGCAGTGTCAAGTCCATTTATTGCGTCCTTCAACTCCTGCAACCCATGCCGCACCTTATCTTCCAGGCCTTTGACTTCACTGTCCAACGTGTCGAAAGAATCTATAAGCGTCGATGACTCTCCCTTCTTTCCAGTGAACTTCTCAACTGCTTCTTTTATTTCATTGAACCGCTTCAAAATGTTTTCCGTATAATCCTTATGAAATTGCGTTCCATCCTCACCAAGCAACTTCTGCGCCGAATCCTTAGCCAACTGCACCGCCGCCTTAATGGACTCAATTTTTTCTCTCTTCGTGTTTCTAAGGTCCTTAATTCTGCTTTCGATATTAGCGAAATCCGCATTCAAAGCTCTCTCTACTCCATCAATTCCTGTGCCAATACATTCATCTACTTCTCTACGATGCTTAATAAAATTCTTGTTCAGTTCCTCTACGCAGCTTGTAACATTCTCATCCTTGACCGTTGCCTCGAAGTTGTCAACAGCCGTTTTAATTAACTCTATTTTCGACACTATTTTCTTGTTAAGATTGTCATCAATCTCATTTAACGCCAACTCTGAATCCAATACCTTTCCAACGTAGTCACCCGAAAAGCCTTGCCAATTGTCCAACTGATCTACAATTGTCTCATCTTCCATGTAAGCATTAACATGCCCACTTAACGTTTCCTTAAGCTCTTCCAACGGCCTCATCACCTCTCTATTTCTTTCATCCACCCCCCTCACCCACTGCTTAATCCCCTTGCCAACTTCGACAATACTACTATCAAAATTTTTTCTATTATAGAGAGCTTCAGTAATTTTTTGAAGTGGCACAGTTAAAGGAGTATTATATTTTTGAAGATTATCATTTGTATGAACTTCATTTAAAACTCCATGCAAGAACGCCATCACCCCGTCGCAGAGCCTGTCGAGGTCCGAGTACACGATGCCCTCGCCGGTGTAATTACCATTATGGTAGCCGAGAAATTTTTCGAGGCCTGTACAAAGACTCTCTAAAATATCTTTACATTTTCCATCTTTATTTTGTGGTTGATTAATATCATTACAATGTTGACAAAGCTTTTCAAGACTTTTGAGAGACTCCAACGAAGCCTCATGAGACTGAAGATCCTTATTAAGCTTGTCAATTTCAGAGGCATTTTGAGGAGATTGATAGGCAATTGTAAAAAGTAAAGGGGGATGAAATGGCACATTTTCAGGGCGATTTGGGGGAATTTGGGGAAAGGCGATTTTAGGTCAAGGAGGCAGCGAGGGAGGTGGGTGGACAGGGTGAGGGAGGTGAGGAGGCGAAAGAGGGCGATGAGGGAGGAAGATGGGTTGAGGTAAGGCGATATTAGGGGTGGAGGGAGAAAGTGGAAAATTAGGATTTGGGTGAAGGACGCCGACGGAGGAGGTGATGGAAGGGGGTGAGGGAGGGAGCGAAGCGACCAGTGAAGGAGGAGGTGAGTGAGTGAGTGGTTGAGTGGTTGAGTGGTTGAGTGGGTGGGTGGTTGAGTGAGTGGTTGAGTGGGTGGTTGAGTGGGTGAGTGGGTGAGTGGGTGATTAGGTGATTGAGTGGGTGAGTGGGTGAGTGGGTGAGTAGGTGGTTGAGTGGGTGAGTGGGTGAGTATGTGAGTGGGTGAAGGCACGATTATGGTGAGAAGTACTTGACGTTGGCGAGTGCCTTGACGCGTGCGGCGGCGAGTAGCGACTGCGCGGCGATGCGGTGGCTTGAGGGCGAGCGCAGGTGTGAGCGTATCCTCAGCACGTCGAGGCGGACGACGGCGATGTGCAGCAGGTAGAGGAGCGACAGCGACCAGAGGGCTAGGAGGAGGTATGAGAATTTACTCCTGATGTCCCATAAGAATTTTGGAATAGTTTTATATATCAATTTGGCTAGTACATCATTCTTGTCCTTCACTTCGCTGAGGACTCTATCCAATGCGTCGCAGAAATCGTTACATGTCCGCTTAGTTCTAATATCTTCTGTGCCGCTTAGATTATCCGTGTTACCAAAATAGAATCCATATTTATACAAATTGGGTAATGTTGACTTGCATTTCACAATTGATTTGCAGCCTTGTTGGTGATTTCTATTCGGAGATGTAATGTCAGAGACAACTGTACGGCAATTTGTAACGCAGCTTGTTGTATGACACTTAGATTTGGGCAGCCCGCAACTCTGACGGCACTCCTCCAATAGGTCCTTCAGCAACCTGGAAAATGTTTCAGTGGCATAAACAATCCAAGACAGGTAATAGTTTTTGAACGTGGAAGAATAAATACCGCGGTTGTCCATACAAAGCGGTCTGAGATACGGTCCGCAGGTGCCGACAGGGTCCAGAGTAGCGATTCCTCCATCGCAGGTGACGAGGCTGCACAGGTCTCCTTTCGCATGGGTTGTTGAGGTACCTGTATGATCACTGCTCTGGAACATTGTACCAACATTAAGCGTTGTGTTTGTGTTTTCGAAATCGGCATTTTGAACAGCCTGTTCAAATGCTCCCTTCCTGTGGATGCCACTGCCGTTCCACCCGTTGAGGAAACCGTAGTAAAACGCAAACATATCACCAAGTGTTTGAGGCGGAATATGTAGCAAGCATTTGACGTAAGAGCAGAATAGCGTGAGCGGTTTGCTTGGTTGACCACAGAATTTCTCAAGAACTTTCTTAAGATCTTCGCCTTTTTGCCTGTGCGATGCCACCGTGCCAATTTCGGAGAAACCCATGGGAGTTAGGCATGGTAACCCCCTATGCTTACCGAGGGAACATTCCACTCCACAACCAAGCTTTTTAAGGTGGTGTGGAAGGAAACCAGGGAGACCATCTTCTAAGTATGATTGAAGCGGCGACTTGAGACCGCAGTCAGCACTTTGGTTACAGCTTTGGTTGCAGCTTTGCCTATGTGTTTGGTTGCCCTCTTGGTTGTATGGTTGGTCTGGGCATTGCAAGTTATTGCACTGCCAACTTGTACCAGCGACGCCGTTGCCATACCAGCAGTCTTGCCACCCACCGAGTTTACTTGGATGAGAACAATGCCTATAAAGGAAGTTAAGCTGATCGTGTAATTTAAGGCATATTTCGCATAGCAAATCGAAACACCTAGATGGGCTAGTTGTATAGTCCAGTTTATCTACGTTACTACTGTACTCACAGGCGTAGCGGCCAGCCGCGTGGCCGTGGCCCTGCAAGGAAATTAACACAGTTTCGGCCGTTTCGCAAACCCTGCGAAGTACAGCGTTTAAGTGGCCGGATCCGACAATGTCCTCGTTGGCACCGAGGTTTAGTCTGAACGGCTTAGTGATAGCTATGTGCGGATTGTCTAATTTATACGCTTTTTTCAGGCCTTGAAACATTGTGGTAAAATGTGAGTCGAGTTTTTCAAGCATGGGATTATACGTCAGTCCGGTAATCCACTGCAGCATATGAGATACTGTCGTTGGAGGCTTTGGTGAGTCAAAGTGCTCATGATGACGGACCTGGAAATAGAGGGGGAGGTATTTGCATACCTCCCTAAGTGTGCCGGGATCTTGCTTTTCATCATCGTTTCTGTAGAGACGTTTTTGGTCTTTCCGGTTGTCGACGAGGAAACCATGAATATGATTGCCAATGCATTTTTCTGTGTTCCGCAACTCCCGTCCCGATTGTCCCGGCCTGTGGAAACACGGTAGCCTCGGGAGTCAAACCAGAGTCCGAGGGGATTATTTTTTAATTTAGTAATCTGCAGACCATTCCATGGGCCTTTTTTCGGCTGCTGATCACAATGCCTCCTCAGCCAATCGAGATGTTTACCCCAACCAGGGAGACAGGTCATGAAAACCTTAGACAGCATCATGCCGTACTCAGTCAATTTGCGTTTGTCGTCTGACGTCTTAGGGGGATCCTGAGGATCAAGCAACGCACCGTCAAACTTCTTACAGCAGTAAGTGCTTACATATGCGTAGCCGAGTTGCTGGGCCAGGGCGCCGATTCCGTCCTTGAGCGCTTGCAGGATGGGACTGGAGGAGTCAGTGAATTTGGCGGGGGAGAATGTAGATAATGCATTGTTGAGGGATTTAAGGTGATCACTGAAATTGTGGTCGAAGTGTTTGGATGTATGAAGTCCTTCAAGAAGTTTCAGCAGGGCGTTAGTTACACTCTCATATTTGGACACCTCAGGGAGCATGGCGTCAGGCTGAATGACGCCTGGTGGGAAATCTTCGAACTCCTTTCTTTGTTTTTCCAAATTTTTGAAAAACATCTCGAAGCCGACGCATACTTTTTCGGCAGCTTGGTTCAGCGGAGACTTTTCTGGTGTAAAGGAATTAGGCTTAATGCCTCCAATCTCTTCAATCTTCGGGATAAAGTTGGTATTAAACAATTTCATGAATCCTTTTAATCCCGTTTCGGTGTCTATATGAATTTTATTCTGAATTATCTCGTTTTGTTCTTCCACCAGCGCCTTGAGCTGCTCGAGCGCGTGGGCCTTGGCCTGGGCGAACTGGGAGAGGGCGGATTGTTTGATTTCTTTTCCAGCAACCTTAGCATTACTAATAGCTTCATTACAAGTGCTTTGAATGTACTTTACGATGAATTTTTTGGCTTCATCAAATTCATGTTGAACGTTGGCAATCATCGATGTCAAGTCACCTGCTTTTAAATCTGTGAGAGACTGTTTAAGAGAAGAGATCTCTCCCTTGAGTGATTCGAGAAAACCGTTAATTGTCTCTTTTTCGCTTCCTTTTTTCACCATTTCGGAAACTTTAATAAGCTGTGCTTTAATTTGCTCGACAGCGGAGCTGATGGCAGAAATCTTGGGAAACAACTGACTCATCTGGCTGTGAATATCATTCTTAATTTTTCCTAGTTGGCCCTCCTCTTTACTGTGGATTTTATTTTCTCTCAAATCCGTTAATGTTTTCTTCATTCCAGTGGGTTGACTTTCACCTGCAGCGGTCTTAACGTCAGACACCAGCCTGTCGAAATTAGTGGTAAAACTCTCTTCCAATTTCTCTACAGCTTTAGTTTCTCTATCAAAGGTAGTATGGAAGTTTGACACCTCATGCACTAAACTGCTTAGCTCACGGTTAGCATCACGGATACTACTAAAACTACTATGACGAGTAAACTGCTGAAGGTTATTGTGAAGCTGCTGAGCCAATTGCAGTGCACCACTTAGAGACTCAGTTAATTGTTTCAAATCAGAAATATTATGTAAATTCGTTGTAGCACTGTGAACTTCAAGTTGAACGCCGCCTTTTATAGATTCCACAAACGCTGTCATAAACGCCCTAGTGGCAGATGCATAACTGTTTAGCGTTTGGTGGTGGCTAGTAACTTCCGCGATTTCACTTGATTTCTGATGCCGCTGCGCAAAAAATTTAAGTCCCGGCAGCTGCTGCTGCGATTGCTGCCATTTTTCTAATGGCAATGATAATTGCGGTGACTGCACAAATTGTGCATATCTATTCCAGATATGTTTAATTGCATCATCAACATTTTTTCCGACATCGAGTACGATCAGTGCTGCCTGACTCCACTGATGCAGTTGACTGCCGTTGAGCGCTGTTGAACTTAGCGAAGACGTCAACTGCGAATACTCACGTTGCTCATCCCTCAATCTTTCATTTATCAAGCTGTCAACTGCGGTGGCCAGCCCGGTAAGTTTCTCTTTTGCCTGGTGCCCGATGACCTTAAGTTGTTGTTTCTTAGAGTCGAGGAAAATATTCTGAGTCTGCCTTTTTAGACTTTCAACTGCCTGAGTAATTATGCTCGTTTTGCTTTCATGAACTGCAGAGATGATAGCGTTAACCTTATCCAACACGCTTTGTATTGTACTTCCCGACTTCTGAATCCACTGCTGTAGAGAGGTGTCAATTCCGCCAAGCTGACTATGAACTTGCGACACCGTCTGCCTAGTTTGCTCAATATTCTCGATATGCGTTTTAAATGTACTTTCATTTTCATCCAGCGCCTTCACTACAGCATCGCACTTCTGCAAAGCATTGTGAAGGTTTGAACCATTATCGTTTTTAAGCCACTTTTCCAACTCCTCGATAGCCTTTTTGACACCTGGCACAACTTTCTTAATATGCTCGTGAAGCGTGTTAATTTCACCTTTCAGAAACGTTGTCAAACTATCGATTTTATTTGCGGCATTTCCTGACACGCTTTCCGAATGTTCAATTATTATACTCATCTTTTCATCCACCCTCTCACACACCTTCTTAAGCCCCGCGTGATCCTGCTTAGTGGAGTCCACGAAAGTGTCCACTCTGTCTTTAATTAGGGAGACGTGCGGAGATAATTCTTTTTGGAGGTTTTTGTCGATATAGTCAAGAGCACTGGGAATGGAAGAAGCCGTAAATGAAAGTTGTTTTAGGGATTTAATCGAAGACTTCAAATTGCTTTTCTGTTCCTCAAAATCATTATTATCTTTCAGTGCACTAAAATACTTCAAAAACACTCCCACATCAACGTCAAGATTATTTATTGGCCCAGTAACATACCCATTCTTCTTCTCCACATCCACCAACCACTGACCAATCCCCTGCTTGACATGGTCAATCACAGACTGCAAACCTGTTTTGCCTTCATAGCGCTTGCTTTCTAAAAGTGTTACAGTTTCATTTAATGCCTTTTTATAAGGCGAAAGATTATCATTTCTATGAACTTCATTTAAAACTCCATGAAGGAAAGACATCACCCCGTCGCAGAGCCTGTCAAGGTCCGAGTACACGATGCCCTCGCCGGTGTAATTACCATTATCGTAGCCGAGAAATTTTTCGAGGCCTGTGCAGAGGTTATTTAATAATGCTGTTGAAGGATTATTTTAGGCACATTTTAAGGGTGATTTGGGGGAATTTGGGGAAAGGCGATTTTAGGTCAAGGAGGCAGTGACGGGGTGAGGGAGGTGGGCGGACAGGGTGAGGGAAAAGAAGGGGCGAAAGAGGGCGATGAAGGAGGAAGATGGGTTGAGGAGAGGCGATTTAGGGGGTCAATGGAATTTTTTTGAAATTAAGGTTTTGGGTGAGGGACGCCGACGGAGGAGGTGATGGAGGAGGGAGCGAAGCGACCAGTGAAGGAGGAGGTGATGGGTGGCGATGAGTGGGGATGGTCAAGGGTGAGTGGATGATGGTTCGATGGTTAGGGCGGTTGAGTGGGTGAGTGGTTGAGTGGGTGGTGGTCGATGGGCGGGTGGATGATGATGGGTCGTTGAGTGGTTGAGTGGTTGAGTGGTGAGTGGTGGATGAGTGGTTGAGTGATGAGTGAGTGAGTGATGGGCGAGTAGGTGGGTGGTCGAGTGGGTTGATGGTCGATGAGTGATGAGTGAGTGAGATGAGCGTGAGTGGGCGATGATGGTCAGTGAGTGATTAGGTGAGTGATAAGGTGAGTGGGTGAGTGGCGGTCGATGAGAGAGTGATTAGGTGGTGGAGCGAGCGGTGGTTAGGTGAGCGGTGATGGGTGAGTGGTTGATGAGAGGTTGAGTGATCAGGCGGTTGATGGGTGAGTGGGTGGTTAGTGAGTGGGTGGTTGAGTGGGCGGGTGAGTGATTGAGTGGAGCGGAGTGGGTGGTGAGTATGTGGTTGAGTGAGTGAGTGGTTGAGTAGGTGATTAGGTGAGTGAGTGGTTGAGTGGGTGGTTGAGTGGTTGAGTGGGTGAGTGGGTGATACACAGATCACACGTGAAGGCACGATTATGGTGAGAAGTACTTTACGTTGGCGAGTGCCCTGACGCGTGCGGTGGCGAGGAGGGACTGTGCGGCGATGCGGTGGCTTGAGGGCGATCTCAGGTGGGAGCGTATCCTCAGGACGTCGAGGCGGACGACGGCGATGTGCAGCAGGTACAGGAGCGACAGCGACCAGAGGGCTAACAATGTTAGCATAAATGGGCACCTTATTTCTTTCAGGAAATTGTCGCACTCCTCGAACAGCTTATTAAAATAATCAGAATGTAATACCTTATGTAACTGACTACAGAAATCCCTACACTTCTTCGGCGCCTTACCATTCAATGTCGACGCCTCGCCGAAGCTGAATCCATACTGGTAGAGCGTCGGTGCCACGCCTCTACAGGTTACTATGGAAGGACACTGACATGTGTCATCTGGTTTCTTCTCATCTTCTACGACGCCATGCTTGCCACTCTTGCACTTGCCTCCTCTGAGACATCCACGGCATTCCCAGTCTGCACAAGTGATTTGGCAAAAGGCATTGTATAAATTGTTGAGTAAATCCCAAAATGTCCATGGGAGATATATGGCCCATGACAAATATGTGTTGCAATGCTTCTCAGCAAAGTAAGCATATGTGTCACCGCAGAGTGATGCAACATATGGAGCGCACAATGCTTTTCCTACAGTGTCATTACACGCTTGTGTCATCGCTATACTAGACACGTCAGCATATGCAGTAAGGTGGTCCTTCCCTCCATGTTTACCATGGGCATTACGATACGCATCACGAAGTGCGTCTGTGAGTTTTGATGGTTCGTTATATAGATCAATGGACACACTTTTGGCGGAATTTTCGACCACCGTTTTGAGTCCGTTACCGCCATTATGCGACCAGCCTTTCACAAATGACAATGCAAATTGAATATGCTCTGCTAGGTTACTCGGCGGTTTGGGTGCAACGGAAAGCAGAGGTGAAGCTACACCGTTACCAAAGAATTTGGTCAGCACTTTGCATAGGTCTTTGCCTGTCTTTGTACTTCCCGAGAAACCTCTAAAGCCGAGTGGTGTCAAACACGGCTGCCCAGGCGTGGATTTGGGGCACGTTGTACATACCGCTTTGCAGCCGATAGCGCTGACCTGGTGCGGTAGGTGGCCGGGAAGACAGTCATTTAGGTAACTCATTAATGGTGACCTAGGTTGGCAATTTGCTTGACCATTTGGTTGGTGATTTGGTTTACAATTTGGTTGGCCGTTTGGTTTGCTGTTTGAGTGGTCACTACACGGCCACTTGGCTGACTTGACATCTTTGCCGTACTTGCAGCTGTACCAGCCGTGCTCGGACACCAAATTGGTACACTGATGATGCAAGAATCTAAATACAGGGAACATTCTACGGAGGCATTCAAGCAACATGTTGAGACAATCCCCCGCCGATGAGGGGAACGTGAATCCAAGGGCGTTAGTATGGTAGTCAACAGCGTACGTGGTGAACTCGTCGCCGTAGCCGACTATGGTAGTCAGGATCACGGGAGCAAGGGACGTGACATGTACAATTGCATCGTGTATCTCACTCTGCGCGATCTTTTGTGGATACGCCGCTAACGATAGGCTGCTTGGTTCTTCAAGGGAGATGTCGTCTACCACATTGTCCGCCTCCTTTCTCTTCGGCTTGTCGAACAGGTGACTGAAGTCATTTGTTGTCAAATCGATATACACTGGATGATGTAGAAGGCTTGTACACCATGCAAGCATCTCGTAAATGAAACACGGACGCTTCTTGGAGAAGGAAGTGGCGATGTGGGAGACGGAATAATAATGGGTGAGGCAATCGTTAAGCATGTCAAGCGCACGCTTGGCATCTTTATCGCTGTCGAATACACATTCAGAATCGCCGACGAGCCTACCATAAATATGCTCACCCTTCATATTATTCGTGTACTGCAGCTCGCCATTTTGGGAGTCACGGTTTGTGACCACACGGTAACCGCACGTTTGCAAGAACGTACCGAGACTGCTACCGGAATGGATCCGACGCGCATACCATTCGGAAAGGCATTGTGTTTTCAAATACGTCAGGTCCTCACTGATGATCTCCAGGATGGACAAGAACACCTTGGACATGTTTTCACCGTCCGGGGTGAGCACTTTCTCAGCTGGTGTGGATGGATCCTTTTGTGGTTTATCTTGCAACAATTTACTTAAATTTATTTGCTTAGGATGTCCGTCGTAGACGTTTACGTAGGCCTTTTCGAGCTCCGTGAACAATGCCGCGAAGCCTCTTTTAAACGACTCGAGAATGAAAGGATACTTTCCTTCGCCGTATGTCTTGGGATTGAATTCCGTAAGTGCTTTATTAAATGTTACTAGGTGAGTGCTAAAGTTATTGTCAAAGTGCCGTGAACGCATAAGGCCATTAAGAATTTTTGTCAGAGCGTCTTTGGAAGGCGCAACTTTATCGTGGTCGGACTTGAGATCCTCATCGCTTTTCAACTTCTTGAACAACGCATTCAATGCGCTGTTTAACTTTGTCGCCGCCTGGTGCAGTGGAGGCTCTGCTTTCGTAAACTTATTAGGATCAATTTCATTTATTCCTTCAAGTCTCCTCATGACGTCCTTTGCAAACAGTTCCATGAATTTCTTGTGCCCCTGCTCCAAATCTTTTCCTATTTCATCGGGTAGCGTTTTGAGTTCTTCAGTGACTTTCTCGGCGAACGCCTTGAGCAGGAACTTAATGGACTCAACATACTGTTTCCTTGCGTAGACGGTTAATTGCTTAGTTGCGTCGTCCACTTCCTTATTTACGTGTGTTTCCAGCAACTGGATTGTGGCTTGGCGGTAGTGTCCGATGCTGCTGATAAAGGTCTCCGTCAACTTGATAGGCTTAGTCACCAGATCGTTTTGGAGTTTGGTGAGATTGTTCCTAATGTTTTTGAGTTGCTGTTTGATTTTGGTATCTCTCAGAGTCTTTATACTCTCCTTACCGAAATGCACAGCGGTGTTTATCTTACTACACATGGAAACAAGTTTGGCGGATATATGTGGGACCTGGTTGTGGAGATCTGTAAGGTTCTCCTGGATCTGTTGAAGGCCGTTTGCGGTGCCGAGGGATTGCTTAGTGAGGCCTACCTTCAACTCATTTAGAATTGTTTGGACACCTTTATTGCCGTAGTCATCCGCCCTGTCCCTGTTGACAAGTTGTGTAAGATATGTTAGCTGAGCGTCGATTGTTTGGACCGGTTTTTCAAAAGTATCCTTTGTTATCTTTTTATCGGGACCGGCGCTCTCACCTATTGTCTTCTCCAGCTCTGCAACACCTGTGGTTTCAATCCTCTTTATCGACTGCGGTAGTTCACCGGAGCTTTGAATGTCTTGTGGCTTACCGGTCCCAAGAGCACTCTTAAGTTTTTTTTCGTCGACGTAATGTTTGTAACCGTTGAATTTAGTTTTAGCCAATTCTGTTATTGTACTACCAACCTTTGCGTTTCCGCCGATCTCCTGATCCAATATACTATCAACTTGACCGCCAAAGGTTGGCTCGCTAAGGGCGCTGTTTATCGTACTATAGTGAGTTTTGAACAGCTGCATTAGTTTATGTTTCTCACCAAGTTCATAAGTTATTTGTTGTGGGATAACAGACGTTCCCAGTAACGGAGAAGTTGTTGACGTGATGCCCTCTTCTATTTTCCTTGCAACCGTAGTGTCAATTGGCTCAGTAAGAGCAACGGGTGGAATAAGCGTTGTGTGGGCGGATTGGCCAAGCGCTGTTCCAAGATCACTGTAAAGCAGGTTTATTGCTGGCTGCACCTCTTTCAACGCCTTTGTAATTTTACTCCCGGGCTGATTGGTGCTGCCCTCGGGGTCTCCAAGTTTTGTGACTATTTCACCGACCTTCTTTATAGCTGGTTCCAGGTTGTAGCCTATTTTGGACTTTTCGAGGAACTTTTGAATTTCTTCGGCAAACTTCCTGGCCACTGCGGCTATAGACGGAAGGATTGTTTTGAGCGCGTTAAGGAGACCTGTTTTGTCTGTAGAGTTGTTAAGGGTTTTTAAACCTAAATGCTCCTCAACTTTCTCAGAAATCTGGGAAGCCTTATCCTTCAGGTCAGTTTCAACTTGCTGGGCGAACTCTTTAAACCTCTGGGCAATCTCACTGACCTTTGCACCTGGGCGGTTGCTAGTCCCTGCAACATTTAAAAGGGACGCTTTTAACTCTTCCGGAAGCTTGCTCTTAATGGCCTCCTTTACTGCGAGAATTTTATCACCTTGTCCTTTATTATTGAATTCCGTGCCTATAAATTTACCCTTATCTCTGTTGTCACTTACATACGTAGTAATATTCCTATTCACTTTCGTATCCTCCAAAATTTCTTTAAGCCAACCTGTCAAAATCTGAGTCTCAAATTTGCCGCTACCAAACTCCTTAGCGTAGGATAAGATACCGTGTACAATTTCTTGAAGCTTTCCAGTGCCCACAGGGCCTTCGTTGGTCAAGCCGCCAACAAGCCATGTGATCTGATGTTTAAGTCCATTCCAATTAAAAAATATACTTTCGTTACCTGGTCCATTTTTTGCTTGTGTATCTCCAATTCCATCCTTGACAACGCCGACCTTTGTTTTAATTGCGTCGACATAACTCTTAACGTAATCCTTTACTGCACTCTCAATCTTCTGCTTCAATGTACCTAGATCCTGGATAACTTTGCCTTCCAATTGAGCAATATTAAGCTTTGTAATCTCCTGCGTAATCCCTTTCTTAATATCGTCTTTAACACCTTTCAAATCCCTCTTTAAATACATGTCCATTTGCATAACCTCATTAAGCGCCACTGCGACTTGATCCTTGACATCCCTCATTGCCCCCTCGGCCGCCAATCTGAGTTTCTCTGCTTGTGTTTTCAATTCTTCAGCTTTCTTTTTTATAAAGGTTAGGCCACCATTATTCTGTCTATTTTTTGGATGACCATTTTGCACCCTCTCTAGTATTAAATCACAGTTCTCAATGCCTTTTCCAACAGCTTCGGTCGCCGCTTCCCTCCATTTCTTTAACTCCTCGATTTCTCCTTCCAGCCGCGTGTTAAGCTCCTGCGCCACCTGTCTGATCTGCGCCGGATTCTTTGATACGGCCTCCTCATTTGCTTCCGCCGATATTTCGTCAAATTTCTCCTCCGCCGATTTAATCACCTGTAGTGCGCTTTCAATCCACGCTTCTAACTCCTTAACATACTCTTGCAGCCTCTTATCAATTTTCTTAAGTTCATCCAGAATTTTCTGCACCTTTGGTTTCAAATCTTCAACGAACCTCTCTATTTCCCTACAAATGTGCTTGTTAATTTGCGTCCCGAGCGCCTTCAACACCTCGGCGATTTTTGCAGTCCTCTCTTCAAACTGCTTCTCCTCCTGCTTTTGCACCTTCCCGAGGCGCCCAGTCTCATACACTATCGTGCTACGGAGATTATTAAGCTTAACTTTTAAAGTATCATTAAGATCATTAACGGCATCTTTGTGCTTATTATTAGTGTCACTAATGTTTAGGCTATCAGTGAATTTTGTTGCTTCCGCTTGGCATTCTTGCAGTGCCTTGTTGACGTCCTTGTAGGCGAACATGAGCTCCGGGTCCCTTGGATTATTCTCAACCTGAATAGCATGAAGACCATTAATTAACTTACCATCTTCTTGTCTTGTGTAGCCTTGCATCTTGGTCATTATTTCTTTAACTTCCTGATTGGATTTCTTCACACCCTCATTATACTTGTTCACCCCCTGGACCACTTCGCCAATCGCAGCATTAAAACCATCTTTGCCAGAGTGTTTATTGGCTTCAAGAAGCCTTATAGCTTCATTAATCTCATTACTATGTAATCCTAATTTAGGCTTAATGTTACTTAAAACACCATGAAGGAAAGACATCACCCCGTCGCAGAGCCTGTCCAGGTCCGAGTACACAATTCCCTCTCCGGTGTAATTACCATTCTGGTAGCCGAGAAATTTTTCGAGGCCTGTACAAAGACTCTCTAAAAAATTTTTACAACTTTGTTCGTCAACGTGATTTTGATTAATTTTCTCAGCATATCCACAAAGCTCTTTCAGTGTCTCGAGAGAATTCAAGGATGCATTATGAGACTGAAGATCCTTATTAAGCTTGTCAATTTCAGAGGCATTTTTAGGAGATTGATAGGCAATTAAAAGAATTAAAAAGAAGGTGAAATGGCACATTTTCAGGGCGATTTGGGGGAATTTGGAGAAAGGTGATTTTAGGTCAAGGAGGCAGAGAGGGAGTGAGGGAGGTGGGTGGACAAGGCGGGGGAAGTGAAGGGGCGAAAGAGGGCGATGAGGGAGGAAGATGGGTGGAGGTAAGGCGATTTTAGGGGTGGAGGGAGAACGTGGAAAACGAGGATTTGGGTGGAGGACGCCGACGGAGGAGGTGAGGGAAGGAGGGTGATGGAGGAGGGAGCGAAGCGACCAGTGAAGGAGGTGGGTGAGTGAGTGGGTGAGTGATTAGGTGAGAGAGTGGTTGAGTGGGCGAGTGAGTGAGTGAGTGAGTGGTTGAGTGGGTGGTTGAGTGGGTGAGTGGGTGAGTGGTTGAGTGGTTGAGTGGGTGGGTGGTTGAGTGGGTGGTTGAGTGGGTGAGTGGGTGAGTGGGTGGGTGATACACAGATCACACGTGAAGGCACGATTATGGCGAGAAGTACTTGACGTTGGCGAGTGCCTTGACGCGTGCGGCGGCGAGTAGCGATTGCGCGGCGATGCGGTGGCTTGAGGGTGACCTCAGGTGGGAGCGTATCCTCAGGACGTCGAGGCGGACGACGGTGATGTGCAGCAGGTACAGGAGCGACAGCGACCAGAGGGCTAAGAGTGTCCATATGAATGGTTCACGAATCTTGAACAGGAAGTCTGGTATTAATTTATGTACCAACGTATACAATACGTTCCCTTCCTTTACAACTTTTTCTAATGTACTGCAAAAGTCTTCACATGTACGTTTTCCAGTTCCATCTCTCTCTCCATTCAGGTGAGATTTACTTGCAAAATACATACCATACTTACATAATGTGGGAAGTGTCATTTTACAGTTGACAATCGATTTGCACTCCGACCAATGACTGGGAGTTGATTTCGCATATAGGAATCCTCCTTTAACCATGCACTCCTTGTGACATCCTCGACCATTGCACGTGGTTCCCGGCTTAGTGCAATTACTGCAGCACTCCTCATACAGCGACTTAAGCAAATCATAAAACGTTCCTGTTATATATAGCACCCAAGAGATATTTGGCAGCGTGGTCTTTAGAAACCGCACCGTATATACCATCGCAAAGCGGCTTCAAGTATGAACCGCAGGGATGGACTGGGCTGCCCCCGTTATCTTGGCATTTTACAAGGGTATTGAGGCCACCTGTCAGATGGTTTTCAGAGTGATTACTGCTGCCGACCAGACTGCTAACGTCCAACGTTGTGCTTGAATTGTCGAAATTGGCTGCGATGACGGCCTTATTAAAGGCATCTGTCCTATGTGCCGTGTTCTTAAACGGGTCACTGAGCAGATGATAATAAAACGCAAACATCTGATCCAACGTTTTAGGCGCACTGGGCAGTACGCAATTTAGCTGACTGCACAACTTGGTTAGGGAGAGTGTACACTGTGGCAGAATTTGTAAAGAACATCGCATATATGAGCTCCCGTCTTTGTGTGTGATGCGGTGAGGCTTATTTCGAGAAGCCCATTGGAGTTCTGCAGGGAATGCCAGGGGACCCCTTACTACAGGTGGAACAAGTGAGGCCGGTGCCTCTAACTGTTACGCTATGTGGCAAGAACCCCTGGAGACCATCTTCGAGGAAGGATTGTAGAGGGATTTTAGGCCACAGTTAGGGTGTTGCTTACATGCTTGGTTAGTGCTTTGGTTGGCACGTTGGTTACCATTTTGGTTGGCACTTTGGTCAGCCTTTTGAGGACAGTCTAGGTCAGCGCATTGGTTTGTGTTGCAGTTCCACGACGAACCGCCGACGTTTCTACCGTAATGGCAATCGCTCCAACCGCTAAGTTTGGAAGTGTGTTTACATTGCTGATACAACAGATAAAGCTGGTGGTGGACACGTTTCAGGCATTCGAAGAGCATACAGACTAATGCGTTAAAGTGAGCGGGATATAGGAACCCTTGTGGATTCGTATTGAAGTCGCAAGCATAAATTCCACCCGAGTGGCCGTGCCCAAGGATTGCGGTGAGTACGGCGTGTGATTTGTGGCACACTGCTGCAAGGGTGTCTGACAGGCCCGTAGCTGTGATCCTCTTTGGATATGCCTCTAAAGCGTCGTCATCTTCCACTAGGACGACAGGCTCAGCACTGTTGCTGTCCTCTGACGCCGGTATCTTAGGCTTATCAAATAGCTGAGGAAAACCGTTAAGTGCTAAGTCATTGTTTACGGCATTATAAGTGAGACCGCTAAGCCATGTGAGCATATCATAAATAGATGACGGATGCTTAGGCTTAGGGTGGACAATTAGGTGAGACACACGGTTATATTGGTGGAGGTGTCTGACGAGACATTCGAGAATGTCTGTCACATTAAACTGTATTTTTGCAGGAGCTTGTGTAATTTCTTCACTTTCTTCATGCTCCTTACACTTCGGAAGATGTGGATTACGCTCGGCGCCGTCAATGTTTTCATTTAGTTTTGTATGTATATGCTGACCTCGGAACTTTTCATTTCCGCGCAGCTCACCGTCTTGATTATCTGTCTTGCATACAATAAAACCGTTATCGGCAAGGAATTCACCAAGCGTAGTGGATTTGCTAATCTTTTCAAATTTACATGTGCCTTTACAAATGGTTTTAATGCGTTTAAGTCGTCAGATAATATGGAAAGCAGTGTGAGGAAGACTTTTGCGCACTTCGTGCCGTACGTTGTTAACTTCCCGGATGTACGTCCATCAGCGTGTACTTTAGTCTCCGTCAACGAAGCACCAAAGTTAACACCATCATACACCGACACGTACGCCTTTTCGAGTTCAGCGTGGAACCCTCTCAGTCCGACCTTGAGAACGTCCGGCAGCGTGTTGCACGGGCCCTCGAAATTTGTCGGAACTAAACTATTAAGTGCGGTGCTAAGGTTACCAAGATTAATGGTGAGACTGTGAGTGAAGTGATTGGAGTTGTGAAGTTCGTCGAGGAGAGTGTTTAGTTTGGATTGCACGGCGTCAAGTGCGTCGGCGTAAGGATGTGGATCCTTATCTCCAATTGTTACTGGAGGATTCTTCTTTGCGTTGCTGTCTTTATAGAGTCTCATGATCTCCGTGTCCAAATACCCCTTTAGTGGCCCGAAGAATTCCTTGAATTTTGTAGACAGCGTTTTGAAGAGTGTTGCTTTCTGCTCAGCTGTGTCAGCGGACTCACTTGCAAGATCTTTGAGCTTTTAATGTTTTCGTCAGTCGTTGCATTATCGGTAATTTTGCCTTCAACGGTTCTCATAAAACCCTTGAAGCCCTCCTTTCGCTCTTTGTCAATTTGCTTGGGCAAATCTTGCAGCTCCTTTTGCACCTTATCGGCGAAGGCCTTCAGCATCTCTTTGACTGACGTCACGTAAATTTTCTGTGCCTGTTTGATCATTAGCTTTTTAGCGTTCTCTATTTCCTTGTCGACTTGTCCCCGGAGTTTTTCGATAGTTTCATCTCGAAGTTTGTAGGCGTCCGGTTTAAGGAATTTCTCAGCAGCACTGAGGGCATCAGTGACTGCACCTCCGTGCAGCTCTTTAAGTTGTTTGTGAATTTTATGTAGGCCTTCTCCATCCTTGTTTAAAGAGATTTCCTTTTTAAGCTTTTCCAATTGCTCACTGACCTTTTTACCAGCGATGGCAAATTCCCCTGTCAGAGCCACGAGATTAGATTTTATTTGGTCGGACAATGTCGCCATGGCAGTTGTATCGCCAGTGGTTAGTTCTACCGCTTTGTTTTTTACAGCCTCAATTGCCTCGTCCAGGTTTTTGGCGTGATTAGGTTTGCCGGATGAGCCGGCGGGGTGTCCAGTTGCCTCGTTGAGTTGACCGTTCAGTGTCTCAGCATTCCCGTATGTTTCTTCTATTTTGGCTGCGATGTTATCCGTCTCTGGCTTAAGAAGAAATGATTGAAGTTCTCCAGCAAAGCATTTTATCATCAAAGAAAGCTCTAGGAGCGTTACCTCTATGGCTCCTCGGAGATATGGTTTCGTATTTGGAGCTGCGTCTGAGATGCTCAGTGACACTGTCTCAATCTTAGTAGCAAGTTTCTCAGCCGCAATGGGCTCCACATGCGTTTCAATTGCCGCAGCAACAGCTTCAAGATATTTCTGAATGTCCTTCAAATTTAATTCTGCCGTAGGCTTTCCACCATCTGGTTCATCTTTGATGTGTTCAATGAGCACTCTAATTTCTTCTTTAATAGCATCACGAACCGCATTACGATTATGCTCCTCATAGCTCAGATCCTTCAACTTACCCTTGCTCACGTTTTGCTTGACATAATCGTTAAGCCAGCTATGAATATGTGGGTTTGTCTTGAAAATTCCATCAATCCACGTATCAATTTTTGCCCTTTATTTTTTCAAATTGTTTTTAAAATACTTAGCATATTCCTTTACTTTCTCTTTAACCCTCCAGTCCTAGATAGAGTGCATCATTCGTCCTTTAATATAGGCAACCTTATTCCTAATATGGCCGAAAATTTCTTGATATCTTTCGGCACGCCTGTTTTTATATCCTTAAACTCCCCTGCAAGCGCCTCTATTTTCAAATTCACTTTGCTGGTCAACTCCGTAAGCTGCGTAATATACCTTTCAAGCCAACCACTCCAATCTTTAACCTGCCCCGCTTTTGCGTTAATCATCTCCTGATTATTCTTTCCGGGCTTCTTATCGGCAATTTCCGTCGTCCCTTCCATTGCACTATTCACCATAGTGTCCGCATTTTTCATCCACTTTTCCAACTCGAAATGTAGTTTCAGCTTTTGAAAGTGTCGTTGAGCAAATCTTTAATTTTTTGAACCAATGCTTTCAAATTCTCAACTAGTGTTTTCACTTCCCTGCTAATATGTGCGTTAACGTCTACCTGCTTTTGAAGCACCGTCGTAATCTTCATTTCCATACTTTTCAAGTCCTTCCATTCCTTCTCCGACAATTTACGAAGCCTCTCAGTCTCATGCTTAATCTGTTTTCTCGCGTTGATCACGTTATTCTTACACTGTGAATTGAGATCATTTATATTTTGTTCCAAGGGCTGAAGCCTACTCTCAAACGTTGCGCCGTATCACATAGTTTTCGGCAAACAGTTTTGCATCACTAACCTGTTCACCAATATACTGCAGTTTACCAAAATTTCTTCACCAGGAATCTTCGTAATCATGCTCTCGAACTCTTCACCTACCTGCTCTAGCAATCTTTCTATTTTACTTTTAATTTTTCTATTAGACCTCTCCACCTCCCTATTATACCTCCCGACTCTCGTGGCCACCTCAGTAATGACACCTTGAAAACCATCATGACCTGAACATAATTTCTCCAAAGCATCAACAACACTCTTCAAATGGCTTTCTTTCCCTACTTTGTAAGGCTGTTTCTCATAGACATCATTAAGCACGGAATGCAAGAACGCCATCACCCTGTCGTAGCAGAGCCTGTCAAGGTCGGAGTACACAATTCCCTCTCCGGTGTAACTCCCGTTACTGAAGCCGAGAAATTTTTCGAGGCATGTGCAGAGGTTATTTAATAATGTTGTTGAAGGATTATTTTAGGCACATTTTAGGGCGATTTGGGGGAATTTGGGGAAAGGCGATTTTAGGTCAAGGAGGCAGTAGGCAGCGAGGGAGGTGGGTGGACAAGGTGAGGGAAGGAAGCGAAAGAAGGCGATGAGGAGGAAGATGGGTTGAGGTAAGGCGGTTTTTGGAGGTGGAGGGAAATGTGGAAAATGAGGATTTGGGTGAAGGACGCCGACGGAGGAGGTGATGGAGGGGTGAAGGGCAGGACGAAGCGACTGAAAGAAGGAGGGAGGTGGTTGAGTGGGTGAGTGAGTGGGTGAGTAGGTGGTTGAGTGGGTGAGTGAGTGGGTGAGTGGGTGGTTGAGTGGGTGAAGGACGCCGACGGAGGAGGTGATGGAGGGGGTGATGGAGGAGGGAGCGAAGCGACCAGTGAAGGAGGGTGAGTGAGTGAGTTGTGAGTGGGTGGTTGAGTGGGTGG